ACTGATCTCCTTTAGGATGGACTGATTGGATCTCCTTGCAGTCCAGGGGACTCTCAAGAGTCTTCTCCAACACCACAGTTCAAAAGCATCAGTTCTTCAGTGCTCAGCTTTCTTTATAGTCCAACTCTCACATCCATACATGATCACTGGAAAAATCATAGCCTTGACTAGACAGACCTTTGTTGGCAAAGTAATGTCTCTGCTTTTTAATATGCACAGTTACATTTATTTTAAAAATGGTTACTCAAACTGAACTAATTATGCTACTTATATTCAATAAATGGTAGCTATTTTGTAAAATTTCAAGGAGGGGTCTAAAAATGCTGGAGAAGAAGGTTCAGGTCATCATCAAATAAAGAAGCAAAGGCAAGTAAGTGGTCAAAGTTGAAGGAAAAGATCAACATGGGCTAGGTCACAACCTGTGAGTAGCTGAATTACCAGTGCAAACAGCAGAAAAGAGAGGACAGTTGTTTGTGGCTAGACTAAACTTAAACACTCCAATTCAATGTCTAAAATTGAAACCATCCTCAATTCCCACAAAAATTTTACTCTCTACAAACCAGAAACCTAGAAGTCAACTCCAGAACCTCTTTCTCGTCACCTCTCGCACCTCTTGAATTCATCACTTGTGTCTTAAATTCCTTCACTTCTCTTTATCATAGGGATCACCACTCCGGTCCAAGCCACATAATCTATTGTCTGGGTTACTCCAATAATCTCCTAAGGATCATTCCTACATTTACTCTTGCTTCCACCCTACATCTGTTGTCATGTCAACAGTTTGAATGAAATGTTTTAAACGTGCACATGATTACATCAAACCTCTGTTTCAAATCCTTTAAGTACTATGACCCCAGCCACACATACCTTCTATACATATATCCCATCTATTTGGGGGTTATAGCCACTTTAACTGCTTAGGATCCTTGAACATGTCATGCCGTTTCCAAGTTGGAACTTCCGCATATTGTGTTTCCTTGGTCTAGAAAGCTTACACTCCTATTATTCTCTTCACCAAACAGACTTCTACTAATCTTTTGGATGTCTCTTGAAATATGCTGTGCTGTGCTGTTCTTTGTCTCTCAGTCATGCAAAGAGTCTGACTCTTTGCAACCCTATGGACTGCAGCCCTCCAGGCTCCTCCATCCTTGGGATTCTCCAGGCAAGAATGTTGGAGTGGGCTGCCATTCCCTTCTCCAATAAATATTATTAAATTTGCTAAAATTAAGACATTATTTTAATAGGGTATATGTTTCATGAGGGTATAAACCTCTCATATGAGAAACCAAACCTTTCACTGTGCTTCCCATAGTATCCCTTCCTCTCATAGTATGCTTGGTAATTGATGCTCCATAAGTAATTACAGAATATTTAGAGGCCCTAATTCTGACTAATACAGTCTCACATTAGCTAAGGTGTTAACTCATATAATAATCTCCCAGGATAGGACAGAACACTTTCAAATTCTGTAAACTGGAGACAGTTAGTAAATGTATATCTAGAGTTCAAGGAGGAACCAATCTAGAAGGGGTTTGACAAAAAGTCCATACTTTTTAAAAATTGAAATATAGTTGATTAGTGACGTTGTGTTAGTTTCAGGCACATAGCAAAGTGATTCAGATATGTATATATACATATATGTATAATTTTCAGATTCTTTTCCCTTATAAGTTATAACTAAATATTATTTTCTCTGTACTATACTGCAGATCCTTGTTGTCTATCTAATTCATGTATAGTAATGTGTATATGTTAATCCTGAGCTCCTAATTTATCCCTCCACCTCTTTTCCCCTTTGGTAATCACCTCTTTGTTTTCTATGTCTGTGAGTTTATTTCTTTTTTTAAAATGTAAGTTCATTTGTATCATTTTTTAAATTTTAGATTCTACATACAAATGATATCAAATATTTGTCTTTCTCTGTCTGACTTAGTATGACAATCTCTAGGTCCATCCATGTTGCTGCAAAAGGCATTATTTCATTCTCTTTTATGACTGAATAATAGTCCATTGTACGTATGAGGCACTTCTTCCTTATCCATTTATGATAGATTTTTATATTGCTCCCATGTCTTGGCTACAGTAAATTGTGCTGCAATGAACATGGGGATGCATGCATCTTTTCCAATTATGATTTCCTGTTAATATATGCCCAGGAGTGGACTTGCTAAGTCATATGGTAGATCTATTTTCAGTTTTTTAAGCAACCTACATGCTGTTCTCCATAGTGGCTGTACCAATAGACATTTCTCCAAAGAATTTTGTAATAGCAATAAGACTGTTTTACAGATAGGCCAGAGGAGATAATGTCCTATATTTGAAACTAATAAAAAAGTCTACTGATTTAAGGTTATCAGTTTTGCAAATGAAATTAAGAGGACTGAGTACATCAGGAGTTCCTCTGAGCATGCTCTAAAAAAGAGACTTGGGAGAATAGACACAGATGCCCAGTGGTGTGATGGAGGCATTCTCAGTTACTCACTGGGAAGCCTGATGCAGGGGCGGTGAGGGGTAGGGGATATAAAGCAAAATTTCTAATTAAATTGAACATGAGAAGGTAAGCTCTGTCTGTAAGTAGATTCAACAGAATTACAAAAGGTCACATATGCTTATAAGTAACATAGAACCAAGACTTCCAGGGACAAGAAGCCTTGTGTTAGTCTCTGTGGCTCGGAAAGCAAGAAGAAAAAAGATTAAGCCTCCTTGTGGAGATCATGTGATGACTTCCTGATCCAGCCAGAGGCAGCATTTCCATGGAAACTTCTCTTATCTTCCTCTCATGCACACACTGCTTCCTTCCACCTAGAACCGCTAGCGTCTCAAGAGAGTTGTAGGGCGGCCTCAATAGTTTTTCTAAATAGCAAAACAAACTCAAGTAGAATGGGAAGAGAACAGAAAGGCTGACATTCTGGCATCACATGTAGTGATTGCATTCCTGCTGCTTTTCCAGTTTTCACCTTCTTGCCTTATTCTGCAAGTTCAAGTGGCTACTAGCTTTAAGTATGGAACAGGATAAGGAAAAAAGCTCTCACAGGGACAACTTTGACTTGACTGCTCTTATCTTCTAGCTCTTCTACTCACTTTAGTTCAAACCACTTAGTTTTTAAGCCCCTCCATGGATTAGGTCCCTGGTGCCTCAGATGGTAAAGAATCCACCTGCAATGCAGGAGACCTGGGTTTGATCCCTGGGTTGGGAAGATCCCCTGGAGGAGGGCATGGCAACCCACTCCAGTATTCTTGCTTGGAGACTCCCCATGGACAGAGGAGCCTGGGGTCACAAAGAGTCGCAGACATGACCAAGCACAGCACATGGATGGGGCCCAGGTTTAATTCCTTATGGCCTGGGTCCACGCGTGAAGATCATGCTGCAGCTCAGAGATGAAAAACACAGCTCTCATCTCTCTACAGTTTCCCCTGCCTGAAGTATTGTGTCCGTTCTAATTTGTCTTTCCAACTTATGCCCATCCTTCAAAACTTGACTCAGAGGATACTCCTATTAAAAACTCATGCATTATTATTTCAAATGATTCAATCTTTTCTATATCCTCAGTTCTCAGAGATGTCTCTCCATTAAAAGTCTGATGCTCTTATTTTCTATACTACTCATTTAAAAACCAGTATAGTGGTAAAATGATATTTCTATCCATGCATTTCAGTTTATCTAGCTCACTATACACACAGAGACCAAAAAAAAAATCTTGAAAGAATTTGCATGATCAATAAAAATTTGTTGAATAAATGTATCAGACCTTATTCACTCACTCAGTACAATGGGAACTCCTTTGTAAGACCAAATTGCAAACAAAACTCAGATGAATTACTGATTTCTAGAACTTATGGGTGAAACTAGGTGGTGAAAGCATTAAAATAAGAAAAGTACAAGCTATTATATATATAATACTATATATAAATAAGCAGAAATACATATTGTGCAGCACAGGTAATATAGCCAATATTTTATAATAACTTTAGTATAACACTAAAATATTGAATCACTATGTTGTATACCTGAAACTAATAAAATATTGACAACCACCTACACTTCAATAAAAAAGTTTCCTTTTGAATGTGTGCTGCGTTCTCAATTGCTCAGTCATGTCTGACTCTTTGTGACCCCATGGACTATAGCCCACCAGCTCCTCTGCCCATAGGATTTTCCAGGCAAGAATAATGGAATGGGTTGCCATTTCCTCCTCCAGAGGATCTTCCCAACCCAAGGATTGAACCTGTGTCTCTTGATTCTCCTGCTTTGGCAGATAGATTCTTTACCACTGAGCCACCTGGGAAGATTTCTTTCAAATATTCATCAGAAAACATTTCCAAAGTAAAGCTGACGACCCAGCTATCAAAGTGACCTATCCTTAGCAATATTCAGAAAATGAGCAATTAGACAGCAGGCAGCAGCTGGCATCAAGATAATCAGGAAGCGTATCAGAAAAAGTTTTAATCTTCTGATACTTTGTATAAAATAAATAAGCTTCAGATATAAGAAATAATCTCCAGGCTCTGAAAAATGTCTCTTCCTGCAAAGCCAAATCCTACCAATGCCTTGGCTTATTTATTATTTATGGTTTTTGAGAAACAAACCATCTTATGTCCAAAATCTCTAACACTACTTGACTTGTCTTAATAAAGAAGCTCTATTCCTGACATGACTTCACTGATTATATAGTCAGTTAACTGGGTTTACATACTTCAGATGGTCTTATTAGTATTATTCTAACCATAAGATTAAAACTGTTAATGGTGAATAGTGTTTCTCACTTTAACATAGGCTTATCCCACTGATGGGATAAATGCCAACTCCAGAGAAAAGTTAGTCATGTGGTTTTCAGAAGATGAAAGCTTAGATAAAGGCTGAGAGGGTTTAATGCTGGAGGTGGGAGTGGTATTATATAGATCTTAGCCAAAACATGTGATAGTCACTGACTCGGTAGCTGGAAAGGGGAGTGTGGCTCCATTAACCAGCTCAGGCAGACCGTGTGAGGACCGGAGGAAGAATGCTCCTGGCTGCCCTGTCCTGCCTGCTGTGGAGTATCCGGACCTCCGCCGGCCACTTCCCTCGAGCCTGTGCCTCCTCCAAGAGCCTGATGGAGAAGGAGTGCTGCCCGCCCTGGGCGGGCGACGAGAGCCCCTGCGGCCGGCTCTCGGGCAGGGGCTCCTGCCAGGACGTCGTTCTGTCCACGGCGCCACTCGGACCTCAGTTTCCCTTCACGGGGGTGGACGACCGCGAGTCTTGGCCCTCCATCTTTTATAACAGAACCTGCCAGTGCTTTGGCAACTTCATGGGATTCAATTGCGGAAGTTGTAAGTTTGGATTTCGGGGACCCAGCTGCACAGAACGGCGACTTTTGGTGAGAAGAAACATCTTTGATTTGAGTGTACCGGAGAAGAACAAGTTTCTTGCCTATCTCACTTTGGCAAAACATACCACCAGCCCAGACTACGTCATCCCCACGGGCACCTCTGGCCAAATGAATCATGGAGCAACACCCCTGTTCAATGACGTCAGTGTTTATGACCTCTTTGTCTGGATGCATTATTATGTGTCAAGGGACACGCTGCTTGGGGACTCTGAAGTCTGGAGAGACATTGATTTTGCTCATGAAGCCCCGGGTTTTCTGCCTTGGCATAGACTCTTTCTGCTGCTGTGGGAACAGGAAATCCAGAAGCTGACCGGGGATGAGAACTTCACCATTCCATACTGGGACTGGAGAGATGCAGAAAACTGTGACGTTTGCACAGATGAGTACATGGGAGGGCGCAACCCTGCAAACCCTAATCTACTCAGCCCAGCATCCTTCTTCTCCTCTTGGCAGGTAAGGGGTGCAGGACATACAATATCAACGCTTAAAAGAACCTTAGCCATCACTTCTTCTGGCAGGTGTTCATAAACCTCCTTTCCCATCTGTTCTTCTCCTGCCAAGCCTAGAAAATGTCCTCTGTCAAGAGCTCTCAGCATACTTCATAATTTTCCTTTATAGCACACTTCACAATCGCAGTTCCGTAGAGATTTGTGTGGTTCTTTGTCCAATATCCTGTACTTGGGTCCTAAAATCTAATGAATAAAAAGTACTTGGTTCATCACTCTATCTCCTAGCACATAATAAGATGCCAGGCAAATCGTAAGAGCTCATGAAGTATTTGTTGAACCAGTGGATAAATGAGTATTTAGATGATTAAGTAAAAAAAATGATTTAGGTCAATATTTCTGAAATTTTATTCCCAATAAAATTCAGTGCATAAATTGAAAATACAAATCTCTGGCCATATCCCAGTAATCCCATTGATGAGAATATTCAAAGGAGGGTCCTGGGAAGATATCATTTACTAAATGTCTATAGTGATTATTACCATTAGGAATTTAGGGGAATATTACTTAGATTAAATCTTCTTTAAAAAAAATATGAACACTCAGGCTTAAACAGGTAAATAATGAAAATAGCTAATATTCACTGATCGATCAGCAAGTGTGAGGCCCTGTTCTGAGTGGTTTTGTGCATTAATTCAATAATCTTACTAACCTTCCCCATGTTAAAGAATTTTTTTTTAGAAAACCTGAGGCATAGAGATATTATGTAACTTGTACAGGATATCAAAACTAGTAAGCAGCAGAGACCAAATTTGTTCCCAGGTAGCCTGGTTGCATGACCACCCTATAATATTTCCAAGGACATATCTGCGATGATGTCTTTAGCCAAAGGATCTGGCCCATCCTGACTTACTTTTTTCAATAGGATGCAGAAGAAATGAGCACTTTTCCTAAACATGTGTAAACTTTTGAGGTATAGGATAAGAGATCGCTATTTTGAAATTTAATATCTATTTTTCCTATTTTTTCACTTTGGATTGGGGCAAAAGGTAGCCAAAGAAATATGCTTTTAATTATTCATTATTTTAAAACTATAAGGTAGAAGGAATGCTTGTCTGCCTGTGTTCCAACCATTTCTAACACAGCAGTTTTGACTAGCCGTGCTTTATGGAAATAAGCTCAATATTTAAATAAGATGGGAAGAATCTTGCCTTCTCTCCTGGAACTCTGCAATTTTGAAATGTGAACTGCTTCCCAAATACTCCCCCTCCCCCACTCCCCCACACTAAGTTCCTACGACTTCCAAATGGACCTATTGAAACTCACTGAAAATGGTCACTGTAATATCTGGTGTCACTAATGTCAGCTATTTACCAAGAGTAAGGAGTGTATTTGTGCAGGAAAGGCTCGAAAAATGTGCTTCAAAAAAATCTATTTCAATAAGCCTTTAGACCTCCTACCTTAATCTATATAGTGCAAAACTCATCTAACTCTCACATCCTCTGTTACTGCTTAAAATACTGTTAAGCTTTAACATGGGATTTTTCAGTTAGTTATAATGCTTTCCTTAACTGTATAGGTTTTCTTGACCTAGAAAAACCAATGGATTATCTAAATTACCAAAGTTAAAACATCCACACTGAAGCTTCATAGACAAATACTAATTGATATTTAATTACGTGTGTGTGTGTGTGTGCGCGCGTGTGTACACCTCTTTGTGACCCCACGGACTGTAGCTTGCCAGTATCCACTGTCCATGAAATTTTTGAGGCAAAAATACTGGAGTGGGTTGTCATTTCCTCCTTCAGGAGATCTTCCTGACCCAGGGATTGAACCCATGTCTCCTGCATCTCCTGTGTTGGCTTGCAGATTCTTTACCACTGAGCCACCTGGGAAGCCACTTAATTACATGAGAAGTACCAAATTATGTTAACTTTTTCTATTAATTTATTGATTATTGAGTGGAATTTTTCTTTTTTTTCTTTATGATTGTATCCAATTTTACTTCTAAATAGTTTTTTTGTGGCTAGTATGTAAACACTAGGTTAAAATAGTTGCAGCAGTAGATTTAATATCATTCTATGATTAAACCACTGTGGAATAACTGGTGTTAAAAATAATAGGAAATACAGGGGACAAAGACCACTGAAGAAAAGTGAGCAAACAATAATTTAAGTAAGGAAGGTGAAATGAGTGAACATTTATGTCCACCTGTTGTGAGCAGTGTCGCTGTGTGTGCTTACAGTCAAACTCAGTTCTAGCTGGCTATTTCCATTCCTTCCACATTTCTGGTTAAAGTCCTTTAAAAATGAAGGTCAGTTATTAAATCAATGCAACTGACCTAACTCCGAGAGATAGGGAAGCCTGGCATGCTACAGCCCACGGGGTCGCAAAGAGTGGGGCATGACTCTGCAACTGAACAAGAGCAATGCAGCGGTTCTCGGTATCTTCTAAATCACCCAACTAAGAACTTAAAGATTTGCATGTGCTGCACCATCTACCTTCTGCCAGAAAAAATGCTCAGGAGGTCCACTGTGAAGTTCAAGCATCTATATTTGTAAAACCTTCTACTGTAATTCTAATGCAGAGCCAGCCCCTAAGAATGACTGATTTAATTAATATGGAAATTGTTTTGGTCTCTCTTTCACTTTACAAACTTAGGTTCTATAATAAACATATCACTAATTTCAATGCTTTTGCCTGAATAAAACACTCAAATAAAAAACTAGACTGTGTGAGATGGTGAGACTAAATAGCTTCCACACTTGGTGAGTTCATTAATATCTTCCTAAATAGTTATACTCAGCCCCTTTGGTTAAAAAAAAAAAAAAAAAGCCTCCTGCTTTTTCTTATTTTCAGACATCTTTTATTTCACACACACAAAAATGGAGTTTTCAGAAATTCATAGAATTTATTAACTCTTAGCTAAGAGACCACCATTGGTGTGTAGTGTTGTACCTACATTTTGTAAAAGATAGTGAGGCCCCCAAAGGTACAATAATTTGTCTAAGGTAACACAGCTGAGGACAAAAAAACCCAGTGCCTCTGACTCCAGTGCTATTTCAAGTCAACCCTGCAGTTTCCTATTTATAAAGGGCCATTTAGGCTGAGAAAGCATCAAACAAGCCACTAATTCTGTAAATTCTGTCTTGTAGTCACTTTAACTCCCTTAAAGTTCAGTTGTACAGACAACTGCGGCAGATATCCTGAAGTAGTCCTTTTCATTCATGTTACAGTGAAAATATTCCATTAGGTGTTTATTCACAACCCTTATTCAGGTAGAACTGACCTTCACCCTTGTGTACTATCATTACACTGTGTACAGATTTTATAACATGGTACCTATAATTCTTCAGGTTTTCAGACCTGTCTTTATCTAACAGACTGCCAGCTGTTCCAGTGTGGAAACCATTTCTAATTTATCTTTATATCCACAGAACCCAGGAACATAATATACACATAGAATGGGCTTTATCAGTATATGCTATATTGAACAAAATTGAAAATCACAGAAACATTAGCCCCATTGATAACACACACAAAAAACTAAACTCTGTATACACATAGCTAGATTTCTAGAACCTTAAACCATACTTTATAGCACTGGATAACCAAGGCCAAGAAAACAATGATGCCAAAATAAGCAGCAATTTATAATCTGGAATAAAACATTTTTGGTAGCTTTCTCTAGGTGTGTGTGTGCAAAAAAAGAAAGCACACATAGAGAAGATCAAACATGTTATAACCCAATCTGAGTTTTAAGTGAGACAAATAATATTTACTGACAAGGTTTATTACTAAATAAAGTAATATGTTAAAAAGCATTAGTTAATTAATAAATGTTACTTTTTATAGAAAGCGTATTTTCAGTATTCATATCTCTTTTGTATATTTGTTCATTTATTTTTTTGGTTTGTTTAATTCCAAGAGCTTTTAAACTAGAAGCATCAAAGTGCTCCTGAATTAAAGCAGTTCACTGATTTTGGAGGTGGGGGGGGGCAAACTATGCTCAACACAGTTAGATCCAATATTATGCAAGCAGCAGATGAGCTAGCTGTAAGAAGAAAAGGTATTTCAAGAATAGCTGTTATGATGGCTCAAAATAAAGAAAAAAAAAACATTTCCAAGATGATGGACATGAGTGAAGTATGGCCAGGGAATTCACTCATCAGGTGAAAAGCACATCACATGGAAGCAAACAGTAGGAAGAAAAAAAGTTACATTTCAGCAGAGAGTCATGGGTTTTAGGTAACCATGGCAACAGCTCGGTGAAATAACAGCTTCTCTTTTTTTCTTTATGAAAAAGATTCTGTGGAATGTCATATGTTTTACATTCTTTTAGACAAACCTCTAATGCCATAATAAAATTTTTGCTCCTAAAGCTTTTAATAACTGGGCTTTTTTTCTTGCTGTTTCTTTATATTTAAGAGAATACTAAGCTCACCTTCTCCATTAATACATCTGTTTCTTCTTTCTCTTTTTCATTTGATTTGGGACACTTGATTTTTCCCCACATTATATAAGTCACCTTTGTTGAAACAGAAAAAGAACAAATTCCTCATCAGAAGACTTTTGTCACTTACCACATTCTACCTCTGTCACAGATGATACTGGACAAGTCATTTGTAATCTTTGACCTTTGGCTTCTTTTCTCAACAGAAAAAAATGGGGTGCAATTAAGATATATGTGTGCTTTCTGTGCTAATGAAAATACTAAGCTGAATGGAAAGCAGATTAATGAAGTGGAAGGGGATAGTCTTTTGAGCCATAAAAACATGACTTTTGTAACTCACTTAGCTACAAGATCCTGGAGAAGTCACTTAATTATCTGAGACCTTTTCCCCCTGAAAAATTAGAATAATATATTTTAAAGCATTATTCTGAAGGGATTCAATGAAAACTGTTAATGTAAAATGACTAGTTTAGTATCTGACATATTTTTTGAATTTTAAGTATGGAATTATTATCACAATATATCCTCATCATGTGATATATTGATGATAGCTATTATAATTATTATTCATCATGTGTAATAGAGTCAGGGTTAACAATTTGGTGGCCTGCCCAATAGTCTTGTATGCAATAATAATATAATAGCTGTCATTATTAAACACTCTCTACTTGGCATTATATACTAAGTGCTTTTCATAGGTAAAATTATTTGATCCTTCATAAAAAGTTGTTATAGTCCCCATTTACAGATGAAAAACCTTGATATTAAGAGATTAGGTAATTTGCTCAGTTTGGAAACCATGTCTGATTGCAATCTCCATGATGATAGCTAGTGCTAATACTTTCTCCTACCCTGCCTCCCCGTCTGTATCAAATATAAGAACAATAATTTGAGATTTATTTCAAATTATTTCTGGAACTGGGGTAAATTTCCTCCTTGTTACTAATACCTTTAGCCATCTGAACATTTAGTCACTTGGCAGTTGTAACTTAAGCAAAATAGTTTCATTCAGACCGCTCTAAGTTAACTGAGTCTACTGCAGGAGTCTTCTAAGCAGAACGAATTTTTAGATCTTTTGAAAATATCTGGTATGATTTATTATTCAAACAGGAATGAAAATGCTTCCATCTATATACATGCTGTGATGGGTAGTTAATTAACAGTATAAAGGGATCCAATATATTACATTTAATGTAAAAATTGTTGTTGTTGTTCCATCCTTAAGCTGTGTCTGACTATTTGCTACCCCATGGACTGCATACACCAGGCTTCCCTGTCCTTCAGTATCCCCCAAAGCAAAGAAATGTTTCTGCTTTTCAATATGCTGTCTAGGTTTGTCATAGCTTTTCTTCCAAGGAGCAAGTGTCTTTTAACTTCATGGCTGCAGTCACTGTCTGCAGTGATTTTAGAGCCCAAGAAAATAAAGTCTGTCACTGTTTCCACTGTTTTGCCATGAAGTGATGGGACTGGATGCCATGATCTTGGTTTTCTGAATGTTGAGTCTTAAGTAAGCTTTTTCACTCTCTTCTTTCACCTATCAAGAAGCTCTTTAGTTCACTTTCTGCCATAATGGTGGTATCATTTGCATATCTGAGGTTATTGATGTTTCGCATGATGTACTCTGATATAAGTTAAATACGCAAGATGACAATATATAGCCTTGATGTACTCCTTTCCCAATTTTGAACCAGTCTGTTATATATATTTAATGTATATTTATATATAAATAATATTTAAGCATAATTTAAAAATAAAAACATGTAAATATGATATATATTAACATTATATTTATTATTTCATATTACAGTTGAAGAAATTGAGACTTAGCAAGCCTAAATAATATATTCATTGACACATTGCTAGTAAGTAGCTGAACCAGAATTGAAGCCCACACCAATGTGAATCTGGAACCTAATTTTTTTCTAACACACAACCCTTGAATTAATAAGTGATATCTTTGTGACTGGAAATTAAAAGCTTCTCCAACTGTCTGTCATGTAACATAGTAGCAGCCATTCCTGGGGAGCAAGGCTTATTCAGTTCTATTTGATGGTGATTTAACTTGGTGGCATTTGTGGTAAAGAACCTGCCTGCCAATGCAGGAGACATAAGATGCAGGTATGATCCCTAGGTCAGGAAGATTCCCTGGAGGAGGGCATGGCAACCCACTCCTATGTTCTTGCCTGGAGAATCCCATGGACAGAGGAGCTGCAGTCCATGAGACTGCAGAGTTGGACATGCCTGAAGTGACTGAGCACAACACCATAACTTGATTTTACATTCTCATAGACTGCCAACTCACTGGAGTCGGACACTGATAGGATTGCCTTGATTATTCTTAACAGTGATATAAACAGTTAAGCAAGAAGACTCACTTTAAAAATATTGTTCCATGTACCTTGCCTGTTGCCCATAAAATTATTAATCATGACACAGGGCTTTAGATCCTACCAGCTTTTTATACTCTTCCACACTCAGTTTCCTTATCATTAAAATAGGAATAAAATGATATAAACCTACAAGGTCATTTGTGAATTTTAGAAAGTGTACACAGAGATGGCTTTCCTGTTGAGATTGGGGACTCAATATATGTTTAATACAAATGATACATTTTGAAAATATCTTTTAGGGCCGATGTTGTTACCAGTAACAGAACTAGGAAAAAATGGTGTTCAACACATGTTGGTAGTTGAAGAGTCACTGATTCTTCCATTGATATTTTTTTATTATTCCATCAAATATTTATAGAGTCTCTACTCGAAATTCTGGGGATGAACAAAAATGAAAAAAAAAAAAGAAAGTTATCTTCATGGAGATATTAATTTTTTTTAAAAGGAGGTGCTACTGACTATCAAGGGAGATTAAAATGAGCCAAGTCTGAGTTTGACAAACAACCCTATTATCTACTCAGTGGGCACAGGCCTCTTATGGATTAAGTGCCGTTGTGAATAGCCACAAATCGCAAGGTGAGCTCTCCTGTACTTTATGCTTCTGTTTAAGTTTCTTATCTTGCTACCTGTTTAATTGCCCTCATGGAATTTAAGGCATCAATGATTTTAAGTTGAGGAATTAACTTACATACCACTGAGAAAAAAATATATGCTAATTACATTATAATGTGATATTTTTAATCACTTAGCATTTTTATTTTGTATTTATTGAAAGAACTCCTTTTGACTTGTCAAATTTTTTGATCATAGTTTATTCTTCTGCCAGCATATAAGTGAGGGCTTCCCTGGTAGCTCAGCTGGTAAAGAATCCACCTGCAATGCAGAAGACCTCAGTTCAATTCCCGGGTCAGGAAGATCCCCTGGAGAAGGGATAGGCTACCCGCTCCAGTATTTTGGGGCTTCCTTGGTGGCTCAGAGAGTAAAGAATCCTCCTGCAATGTTGGAGCCTGGGTTCAGTCCCCGGGTTGAGAAGATCCCCTGGAGAAAGGAACAGCTACCCACTCCAGTACTCTGGCCTGGAGAATTCCATGGACAGAGGAGCCTGGCAGGCTACAGCCCATGGGGTCACAAAGAGTCAGAGACAACTGAGTGACTTTCACATGTAAGCGAAATTGTAAGCAAAATAATTTGGCGAAGGATCTCAAACTTCTTCAGATTTTAGAGTCGGACAATTTTGAATTACTTTTTAAGTCACAGTTGACTTTTTTTTCAAAATACTGGTTTAACCTTGAAGACTAAGTAGAATATCAGATAAATGGTAAGGAATGGATGTGCTTAGGCAGAAACAAAGGCCTGGGATGGAGCTGCACAGGTGATGCACAGAGAAGAGTAGCCAGTCCGACTTCCGCAGCTGGATCACAGAGTTTGTAAACAGAGATTCAAGATGTATTCTGGAGATAGAATTGACAAGTTTGGCTGATGATTTCAATGTGAAAAGTAAAGGAGAACAAAATACAAACGATAGCAGTCTTTGGCTATAAAATTAAGATTTATGGACTTCTGGTTTAAATTTCAGGACAGTTGATGTGACTGGACGTATAGGGAGAGGAATACAATTTTTTAACCTTATTTTAATTTCAAGTTTTTTCCATTTTTAAACTTCTTTTAAAATAATTTTTATAGTAAAGTGGCTCGGTGGTAAAGAACACACTTGCCAGTGCAGGAGACACAGGTTTGATCCCTAGGTCAGGAAGATCGCCTGAAAGAAGGAAATGACAACTCACTCCAGTATCCTTTGGTGGGAAATCCCATGGACAGAGGAGCCTGGTGGGCTAAAGTCCATGGGGTCATAAGATTCAAACACAACTTAACAACTAAACAATAATAACAACATTGTTGATTTAAATGCTGTGCTAGTTTCAGGTATACCCCAAAGTGATTCAGTTATACATGCATATATATCTTTTTTTCAGATTTTTCCCCTTATAAGCTATTACAAAGGAACAATTTTTTTTTATTTTTAAATACTACATTTGAGATGCCTGTGAGATAACACTGAAATATGAAGTCAGAGATGGATATACAGGGTTAGAGCTCAGAGGAGAGCTTTTGAACTTGAGATAGGAATTAGAAAGTTCTTATCATGCAGTGGCATGTATGCCATGAAACTGGTTATTGTAGCCAAGGAGGCAGATAGAGAAAGAATTTTAAAAAAGGGTATAGACCTAAACTCTGGGCCATGGCTAGCTTCACAAGCATATGCCCAATGAAGTCACACAATGGATGTTTAGCAAATGTTTGTCAAATTAATTTTCCTAACAAATATTTGACAACAATTATATGAAGTAATTATTATTATCCTCATTTGCTAGATGAGACCTATGGAATTTATTTTCTTAAGTGGTAGATGCAAGACTAGAACTGTGGTCTGAACTGTAACTTTCATGGGTTACAGTTACTCTACAACCCTCAGAAAGCTGCTTCCTTCAACAATTTAAGACATGAATCTCATGATTAGACATCCAAATATCCAAAATCCAAATAAAGAATCCCAACCTCTCTACCTTCCCCCTTTTACAACACTCATTTAACACAAAGGCATTCTGTGCAGATCGTCTGCAGCAGACTGGAGGAGTACAACAGTCGCCAGGCTTTATGCAACGGGACGTCTGAGGGACCATTACTGCGCAATCCTGGAAACCACGACAAAGCCAGGACCCCAAGGCTCCCCTCCTCGGCTGATGTGGAGTTTTGCTTGAGTTTGACCCAGTATGAATCAGGTTCCATGGATAAAGCTGCCAACTTCAGCTTTAGAAATACACTGGAAGGTAAATGCTTTTTCCCCTCACTCATTTAAATTTCCTTTTTTTCTAACTTTATGTTTACAAACTCTTATCCAAAACCCTGGGCCCAGAAGTGTTTGCGAATATGATAATATAAATATAACCAATCACTCTAGCAGAATGTGGGTGGCACACATATTCCAAAACATGAATAACTCTTCAGGAAAATGTATGACTATACCTACTGTGGCAATAAATAGAAATAATAGGTGACCTAATGGAGAATAAAGTCTGGTTTTACCACTAAAATATATGGGTGCCAAACAAAATAACACATTTTTAGAATTTTTGTATTTTGGAATCATAGATATAGGACTGGTGACCTATCATATTTTTCTAACTTTTAGTATTTTTCTCTAGTTTAAAATATTCTGAACACAAGATTCTTTGAGACAAGTCCATGTTCTTAACCATAATAAGGATAAAATCCACAGGTCAGGTTAAGGTCCCATCCTGTTATCCCTCAAGTTTTCTGCGCTTTATCAGAGATTCCCTCTCACAGCCTCTTCTAAGGCCTCCTTATTTCTCCTGCAAAGCTCTCAACCTTGCTTGCACCTTCCCTTAAGTACCTGTTCATCCTTCTCTGCTCAACACCATCTCAGTCATGAGAACCCAACTCCGCAACCTCAATTTTCATTGTGGAAACAAACCTACAAACAAAGAGAAAACAGGAACATTCACTCAAGTTACAAGTTAATTTGAGTTCCAGGAAAACATAGGCTGCCAATTTGTGGTAAGGCAGATACTTAAAATTTACCACTAGATATTTTATCTCTTTGGCATCTTACCATGGAGATGAAAGTTTCTCTTTTCCTATTTCCTTCCCCTAACTTCCTTAACTTTTTGCTTGATTCTTGTTATAGTGGTTGCTGCTGTGTCCTCTAACTTCCGTTGCTGAGTATGCAGAATAGTTTCATTGTCTCTTTCATTTTCCTGTATTCTTCTAATCCCGAACACCTTAGAGCCTTGCTTTTTCCCAGAAGAATTTAAATAAGGAGAGTATTACCCTAAAGAGGAAACATGGTGCAGCTATTAAAATAAGAATTTTGTTTATTTCCCTTAAATAGTATTAGTAATGAATGTTTTCTAATAGTCAGCATATGCAAGGCACCATGTCAAAGATACTGTGTAGCACTGTCTCGATTCTTACAACCATTCTCTGAGGAAGTAGCATTGTTATTTCCAATTTAAAGAGAGGAAACAAGATCAGAGATATTAAGTAATTTGGCTACCATCCATTTGGTAAGTGGCAGAGCTAAATATGTTCCTAGATTTGCCAAGTGCCAAAATCCAAGAGTCCTTTCTATTATATTCTGATGACCCTGAATGAGTTGAACATTTTTTGAAGGTTGAATATCAAGCTGGTCCTACAATAATATAACATGAGAAGGCAATGAATGGTGTCCAAGAGTCTGAACCTACAAGCTAAGAGAAAGGCACACAGACAAGTTGGTGGTCACCGCATGGGAGGACTGGGCACACTGTTGGATTTTGCAGCGGTTAATAGCTAGATTCCAGATGTCGAATTAAAGACATTATAAAGCAGGGCTCGATTCTTAAGGTAATTATAATCCATTACAGGTTCAGTCAGTCCAGTTGCTCAGTTGTGTCCAACTCTCTGCGACCCCATGGACTGCAGCACGCTAGGCCTCCCTGTCCATCGCCAACACCCAGAGTTTACCCAAACTCAAGTCCATTGAGTCAGTTGATGGTGATGAGTCCAGCCATCTCATCCTGTCATCCCCTTCTCCTGCCTTCAATCTTTCCCAGCATCAGGGTCTTTTCCAATGACTCAGTTCTTTGCATCAGGTGGCCGAAGTATTGGAGTTTCAGCTTCAGCATCAGTCCTTCCAATGAATATTCAGGACTGATTTCCTTTACAGTGGACTGGTTGGGTCTCCTTGTAGTCCAAGGGACTCTCAAGAGTCTTCTCCAACACCACAGTTCCAAAGCATCAATTCTTCAGCGCTCAGCTTTCTTATAGTTCAACTCTCACGTCCATACATGACTAGGAAAACCATAGCCTCGACTAGACGGACTTTTGTTGGCAAAGTAATGTCTCTGCTTTTTAATATGTTGTCTAGGTTGGTCATAACCTCCCTTCCAAGGAGCAAGCGTCTTTTAATTTCATGGCTGCACTCACCATCTGCAGTGATTTTGGAGCCCAGAAAAACAGTCTGTTACTGTTTCCCCATCTATTTGCCATGAAGTGATGGGACCGAATGCCATGATCTTAGTTTTCTGAATGTTGAGTTTTAAGCCAACTTCTTCACTCTCCTCTTTCATGTTCTTCAAGAGGCTCTTTAGCTCTTCTTTGCTTTCTGCCATAAGGGTGGTGTCATCTGCATATCTGAGGTTATTGATATTTCTCCCAGCAATCTTGATTCCAGCTTGTGCTTCCTCCAGCCCAGCGTCTCTCATGATGTACTCTACATATAAGTTATATAAGCAGGGTGACAATATACAGCCTTGATGTACTCCTTTGCCTATTTGGAACCAGTCTGTTGTTCCATGTCCAGTCTAAAATGCAGTACTTGGATGCAGTCTCAAAAACAACAGAATGATCTCTCTTCATTTCCAAGGCAAACTATTCAACATCACAGTAATTGAAATCTATGCCCCAACCAGTAATGCTGAAGAAGCTGAACTTGAATGGTTCTATGAAGACCTACAAGACCTTCTAGAACTAACACCCAAAAAAGATGTCCTTTTCACTATACGGGAGTGGACTGCAAAAGTAGGAAGTCAAGAAATACCTAGAGTAACAGGCAAATTTGGCCTTGGAGTACGGAATGAAGCAGGGCAAAGGCTAACAGAGTTTTGCCAAGAGAACGCACTGGTCATAGGAAACACCCTCTTCCAACAACACAAGAGAAGACTCTACACATGGACATCACCAGATGGTCAATACTGAAATCAGATTGATTATATTCTTTGCAGCCAAAAATGGAGAAGTTCTATACAGTCAGCAAAAACAAGACTGGGAGCTGACTGTGGCTCAGACCATGAACCCCTTATTGCCAAATTCAGACTTAAATTGAAGAAAGTCGGGAAAACCACTAGCCCATTCAGGTATGACCTAAATCAAATCCTTTACAATTATACAGTGCAAGTGACAAATAGATTCAAGGGATTACATCTGCTAGACAGAGTGCCTGAAGAACTATGGATGGAGGTCCATGACATTGTACAGGAGGCAGGGATCAAGACCATTACAGGTTATTCAGACATATTTTAAAACAGTGAGAAAGCATGAACTTTGTTATCTGGGAAATTAGGCTGATCTTAAAAATAACATAGGGAGCCTCATTTCTCTGGCTCTCAAGTCAAAAAGGAAAACTGGCTTGAGTCATGTCAACAGAGCCAGTGGCTTTAAAATAAGTTTCTAATATACAGAATTAGTAGAGGACATCATGCTTATTGTAAATAATTTGTTAATACTAATAAGTTATGTTTGTAAATAATTTTTTTTCATATAAAGCATTCTTATGTACACACAATCTAGTATTCTTTCTTGAGAAGGAGAGAAAAGACATTATAGAACATAATATTAATAGTATTCAATGTGTGTTTGATGATGAAAACATAAATATTATCTAAAACTCTTCCAATTGCACCTAACCCAACACTTAGTTTATCTATACTGATTGTATGAAGCCTATTTGCTGGTAATAAGATGTCAAAAAACATTGATCTCAGTCACCAGCAAGAGCTTTTCCTTATAAGGGACACATTTCTTTATTATTATCTTTAAACTTTTACTAAGAAATAATGTTAAGCTTACAGAAAAATTACAACAATAAAATCTATAAAAAGTCATACATATGCTTTATATTCAGATTCACTTACTGTTTACATTTAAAATTTTTTTTCTTTCATTCACACATATACTTTCTACTCAGATTTGCTTACTGTTTACATTCTATGTATTTTTTCTTCCTTTCTCTCTTATTCTGAACCATCTGAGGATAAATTGCATAGATAAATTGCCAGGGTAAAGAATACTTTACCCTTGGATATTTCAGTGTATCATTCTCTTACACAGAGACAGTTAACAACGTCAGTAAATTCTATATAGGTGTAATGCTTTAATCTAATCTGCTGTTTATATTGCAATATTTTTAATTCACTAATAAAATCCTTTATATCATTTTTTCTTCTCTGTAACAGGGTCTAGTTTAGGGTAAGATGGCATTTAGTTGTTCTGTCTCTTTGAGCTTCTTTTAATCTGAAATATTTTCACAACCTATTCTTAAATGACATTCACAATTTTTAGAGAATATAGTCTCCCAATTTTAAATAAAATGTTCCTACTTTTAGTGGGTGGGCCTCCCAGGTGACTCAGTGGTAAAAAACCTACCTGCCAATGCAGGAGACCCTGGAGATGCGGGTTCAATTCCTGGATCGGGAAGATCCCCTGGAGTAGGAAGTGGCAACCACTCCAGTATTCTTGCCTGAAAAACTCCATGGACAGAGGAGCCTGGTGGATTGTAATCCATGGAGTTGCAAAGAGTTGGACATGACCGAGCATGCACACAACACATTTTAAATAGAATTTTTAATAGAATGGATCCAGATAGTGTATTGTTAGCCAGAATTTTATAGAAGTGTTTTGTGTCTTTCTAAGAGAGTATAACATCTGAAGGCACATGGTGAACATCTGTCTCACTTTGGCGATGTTAATTACATCACCTGCTCTAGGTGTGGCCCCGATTCCCCACTGCACAATAACCATTCCAGATTTCACCACTGAGCATACCTTTAAGCTGATTCTTGTGACTCTGTGTCTCTGTTTCATGACCCTATCATTTTTAGCATTTCTTTCTTTTTTTTCTGGTGCAAAAAAGTAGTCTAGATTCTTCTTGTGCCTACACTGCCCAAAGCCTAGAATCAGCCATATCTCCAAGAAACACTGGTTCCTTTCAGTGGGAAAGGACAAAGACAAAGATCTAGATCGAGAGAATAGTTTGCTCACTGGAGAGGCA